AAAAATAATCACCAAATTAAAGAATTAAAGATATCATTACAAAATTAACAAATCTGAGAGAGGTCCACATGTAGTACCTATAGATGTAATATCAAAGCAATTGCACTTGCGGTTTTTAACAAGAAGTCGAAAATATCAGTTTTTACCAAAAATGACAAAAATATTCACCAAAATTAGAGAATTAAAGATATCAACATGAAATGAACAAACCTAAGAGAGGTCTACCCAAGGTACATATACACCAAGTATCAAAGCATTTAGGCTTGTAGTTTTCAAGAAGAAGTCGAAAAAGTAAAACATTGACACGGACGACGGACAATCACTCATATGATAAGCTCCGCTCGACAAAGTCGACAGCGGAGCTAAAAATTATATATACTATTATATATTGCGAATACTGTATTTGTTCTATTAGAAACACATATAAACCCAAAATTACATTTTTTTTGTATACTGTATCATAGAAACATTATTTTGACTATAGAATCTGCAATTTACAAAAGTGCATGCAGTACTTAATACGGTCGGGTCGGTATATGCATCACGTGTCTGTTAAATCACAATGGTGCATTCAAACAAGCAATAACATAATTCATTTCATTTTAAATGACTTACCCGATCAGTGCATTTTTTTCCCTGTACGCTTTCTTTTGAAAATTCATATACATTTGTTTCTGCTGCTCCGTGTATTGTCTAGAAATGAGAAAGATACATAATGTCACCAAGGTCAAAAGGTGTAGCTTGGAAGCTTGAACAACTGATGGATATAGTACAACTGATATCTCTTTGAATACCGGTAGTTGTTTTCTGCTATCAGGTTTGTAAGGTAAAGAATATATATTCTGGCACTTTCAAAATGTGGTGGAGGAGGGTAGTTACTAGCATTGTTGCTCAATGTTGGCCATAATTGAACTGTTTTTGAACTGTACCAGGATGTGTTACTTTTTTAAGGGTTATGCATAAGACATATGTGTACAGTCAAACCTGTGTATAGTGACCACCCACAGGACCTTCATTAAAAGGTGGTCTTTATATACAAGTTTGAACATTATTTTTTATGGATCAACAATTCATACATTATATTAGTCCAGAAAACAATATGGTACTGTAATGCATTTAATAAAAACTGAAATCAAAGAAGAAACAGAAATTTAAAATTGCTTTATTTTGGTTGCTGAACAAAGGCGAGGGAGTAAGTATTAAGGAGTAAGGTGGTCACATAAGCAGGTGGTTTTATACACAGGTTATATACGCTATGTTTTTCAACTGCCTGAGTATGGTATTTATATAGAGGTGGACATTAATACAGGTTTGACTGTACTACAAACCCATTTCCTGTCATAAACAAACATGACAAAAATCAGCCAGAATCAAAGTCACACACTGACACAAATCAAGTAAAATATTGCAGCTCAGCAGTTTCACTGGCCACTGTATTTTGAGAACAATTTTGATATAATAAGCTTAATAAATATTTTATAAATAAATACTTTTTTACATGTTTGGTTGACATGACGACAGCCCACCTTCCTATGCCAAACCAACATTACAAATCAGAATCAATACAATTACATATCTCATATTGATAATTACCGTATTCTCTCTTCCATAGCTGCTTTCTCTTTGGCTAAATATGTAGTCATCTGTTGCTGTAAACTGTTAACAGTCATTTTCACTTTGTCATGGTTACTCGTTACTGGATGACCTGGTACATGAATAATTGTGAATGGTAGTGTTAGCACTCTATGAAAACACTTACATTCATGAAATATAATTATTACGGCACATTTGGTAGTGATTTAAAACAAAAATACCAAAGTCAGTGGTTAATGTTTCTGAATCTAAAATAAAACATAAACCTTTAAAAGTTACCACTCATTCTTAAGCTTTGGAACACTAATCAAATGCAAAACCAGCTGAAAATTTTCGAAAATCTGAATGTTTTATGGAGTGAATAAGTGGGCAAATTCAGACCAGCAAATATTTCATGTGATAGTCAAAGAACCATAATAAAACTAAAGGATGCATTTCATAGGACAAATTTAAAACAAGTCATTGAAAATGACACAGTCCCCGTTAAGTTCTCTTTGTGCTCGTCATATTAAAGCGGAGGGGTTGTCGCGAGCGTGTCCTTGAAACTTGAGTTCCAAGTGGCGTATACAACAGATTGTTTATTTACATCAAAACACGTGTTTCGTGTCATAGTAATATGGCCAAAATAAAAACAGCCGTTATTCAGCCATCTTTGATCTGATTATGAAACACACTGATATGTATGATGTATGTACCAAATACGAATGAAAATGGTACATAAATTGTGGAAATATAGTAGTAAGGCCAAAAAGTTAGATGGCTGTCAATCGGCCATCCTTGACCAGATTTTGAAACAAATTGTCATGGACATGTATAAGGTACATGTATGTGCCAAATTTGAATGAAAACTG